AAACATTTGCGACAAACAGATTCTACGGGTGAAGAGAGGCCAACTTTTGACCTGTCTGGCACTAACAAAGTGTGCTAACATTCTGACCTGCCATCTGCCGAGCACAGATAGACACATTAAATAAATCTTATATTATTAAAAGCCTAAAAATTATATAACTATTTACGCTCATTCAATTTTTTTTTTTAATAATAACCAGTCAATTTTTAAGATTAAAATTTGTAAAGAGAAAACATAATTGTTGATGTCAATTAATCTTACCCCCCCCCCCTTTTGTCAACAATTGTCAAACAATGCCAACCCCTTCCCCTATTTTGTTGACATAAAAGACAATAAATGGCACCTGTGGTTCAAAGACTTCAAAGTATCAACACTTTCACTTCATGTTATCAAGACAGCGTAAAATAAATTACAACTTATAAAGTAGCCTTGCCTAGCATATATGTTTCCTTAATTTTGTTCCTAAACTGTCTTTATATATATATATATATATATATATATATATATATATAACGCAGTTTATTTAGACTGGTTTTTAATGTCTGTTTTTATCATTTATGTATGAAAGGGCTGAATGGGTCAAATCTTCTAATCAATACTTGACTCACCAGACTTCTACTTCTGAAATGATCTTCTTGAATTTTGTGGTGACAATACCATTTGGGTGAATTAAGTCACTTTCCGTCACATTACGTTACTCTCGTAATATAAATACTTATATTTTTCATATTAATATTTTACGTTAGCCTATATTGCCCCTATTTGAATGTGCCGTTGCTCGGAATACATGACTCACTCGTAGGTCGCGGCTTGGGCCTTCTCTATCGTAGGTCATGATCAATTACCCTTGACATTGATGCCAGGCAGTAGGATTTTGGGGAAAATTTTTGTTTACTAAAACTAAAAATCGTATGGTATGATACTCAGGGCTGGATTAACCATTAGGCAAACAAGGCACGTGACTAGGGCACCAATCATATGAGGGGCACCACAAGTCCTCAAGAAAAATGTGTATATTGTCCCGGTAGCGTAGTTGCATGGCATAAACAAATCGCAAATGTAATATTGAATCGCACATTATTTAACCTTGGTCCCACAACAAAAAGATGGAAGATTCTGAAAAGATGCATTGTGAATGAAAAGCTTGTAAAGTCCCTTTCCGTTACCAGATGGGAAGCACTTGCTGTTGCAACTGAAGCCATTCTAAAGTCTCATCCTCAGATTATAGAAGCGTTAGAATGTTTACAAGAAGACCAGTCACAGAAGGGGGACACCAGAAGAGAAGCAGGAAACATTGCAAAGAAGATGCAAGAATTTGAATTTGCTTTCATGCTTGTCTTTTGGGAAGAAGTGTTACAACATTTTCACAGGGTCAGTCAAGCTCTACAAAATGAGCACGTGAACTTGAAAACGTGTGCTGATTTGTATTCTTCACTAGCAGATCACTTGCATGAATCTATGAATGAATTTGAAAGATTTGAAGAAACTGCAAAAGAAATAACACCAGGTATGGATTATAAGTCAACTTTGACCCGTAATCGTAAACGAAAGACAGTGGTCATTGATGGTGATGCCCCTGAGGTATCTCAGAGTGCCAGAGACAAATTTCGTATATCTGCTTTCTACACCAACATGAGACAGAGATGAGTAGACGAGGACAGGTAGGCCTATATAATAATCTAGCAGCAGTTCGATTTTCTTGTTTGGTCGATGTACCACAAACATCTCAGTGTTGTGAAGGACTAATAAATGCTTATCCTGAAGATCTGAACAATAATTTATACACTGAACTACAACAGCTCCACTCATATATTCGCCACAAGTTTCGTGCATCAAAATCTGAGAACACCACGTTCAGTCATGCAGAACTCTACAAAGTAATAGAGACAACATCGAGTGGGCTTTACCAAATGTAGAAATCGCCTTGCGTATATTTTTAACATTAATGGTTACGAACTGTTCAACTGAGCGCTCTTTTTCTCAGTTGAAACGCACAAAATAGTCCAAGTCAGTAGATATTGACAATGAAACAAGAAAGGCTTGATTCCTTATCTTTGCTGATGATTGAGGCAGACTTGTTGCGCAAAAGTAACTTTAATGATGTACTCAAAAACTTTGCCAGACGTAAATCTAGAAAAAAGAACTTTAAAATGTAAATGTGTGCTCTCTCTGACTTTCTTATCTATCAAAAAGTTACAGTATTTTTGTCTACTATTATTACAAAATTAATTAACTATTAATTTTAATACAGAAATACCTTATTGTAGGTTTTATATGAATGATAGTAATAGAAATACAAACATATGTGTTTACATTTCACAACTGTTTTTCTTTGTTAGTTTTTTTGTGTGCATAATATTGAACATTCAGCAGTCAGTGGAAGATCGGGGGCCCGGGGCAGTAGGGAGCACCCATGTGGGTTTGTGCCTAGGGCACCAAGATGGCTTAATCCGGCCCAGATGATGCTAAAGAGTTCCGCATGATTTTTTGGGAGCGAAGAGGTCTCAAGCTAAAGACAATCGTGCTAGACAAATAAACCATCTCCAACTACATATTATATATGTCGTAAAAAATACCCTTGCGTTGCGTCTTCTCAGTTCTTGGTCTTATATATGGATTACAGGACAATGTAGGCTACCTGAAACATAATTCTTAAAATATACTGAATTTATCGTGCATTTAAATACTTAAATATGTATAATAATACGCGTGTAGAGCTTTTTTTATTCATTACATAGCATTTTGACAAAGAGGTAAAAAGTTAGAATGAAATAATTTTTTGCGAAAGTATTTTTTTGAACCCAAATTGCTCCTCAAAATCAAGCCAGCAACAACGTACTTAAATTTCCCGCTGTTTATTTACATTTACAAGATACCGGCCGGTAGCTGTATCTCGCACAAATAATTGGGCCTGTAAGATGTAGGTTAATCTTTAGTAAACAAACACAAATTCAATGTCCTTTTCAATTTATTGTTTACATGATAGTTATTAACTCCAAAAATAATCTAATTGGTACCATACTTAAACTTTAAACACTCACAATTATTGAATCATTAATCATTAATCCTATTATTACTGTTACACTATTATTATTAATTAGTCATGATGAAGATAGGGCCGCTTTTTGTTTTTTCCCGGGGCCGCTTGATTTTTTCCCGGGCCGCTTGAACTCCCCAGTCCACCCCTGTTTGATACTATTTATTTGTAGTAAACTACCAATGCCAATAGTAATAGCTTCTACTTAGAGAGCTATAGGCCTATCATTGGTACTCCACTACCCGTAGCCGTAGTAGCTTCTTGGCATTGGTCATTGGTAGTTTACGTAGGCCTATTGTTTAAGTATTGGTAGTCATTATTTTTTTTATTACATCCACTCTTTTTGTGTCTTGTCTCATAAATTCTCCCCAGTCGGATTTTCGGACATAATACATATTTATTTCTTACTTTGTATACTGTATATAGTATATATTTTATGTATTGTGGCTTACGTTTTCATCAGATTCTCTGCAGTTTAAAATATTGATTCTGCATAGCATTAAAAAATAAATAGTAATAGTACATTGATTACTAGGCCTAGGCCTTAAAGTAATTTATGTTATAGACATAGATGAACAATATACCCTTTGTCGCCAATGAATTTGTTTAATTGTACATAAAAAATATTGATGCTGTTATAAGTAGACGAAGGCTCAATTGTGTAAATAATACTCAGTAGCCCTATCTCCCAACAGAAAATCGAAAGGGGGGGTGTTCCACATGACCATTTTCCTAAACAAATATTAGCCTAAGTTGATACCTATGGTGTCATGTTTAAGCCTAATCATGTTATTATAGTTATAGTTTCATTTAACTAAAGTTTTAGATTTATTTTTTGTATTGTGCACACTTCGTATGCTGTATTCTTATGGTAATTATAGACATTTTAGGCCTATTTTTTAATTTATAATTTTAATCATAATAATTAGCACACACAAAATTTACAGCTAGATTTTATTTTTACTGCACATATTACTTTGGCCTTGTTGGCAAAAAAGACTCTGAGTATAATTTTTTTAGACTATGATCCCCTTCCCCCCATTATCATGCATCTATCTATATTAGGTCTATATTATAATTATATCGCAATATAGCCAAATCTACTGTAGATTTTATAATTAGTGCCGGGGTGTTGTCACTAATACGAGCTAGTAATAAATGAATGGAGCAATACTTTGCCAGTGTAATTGAAAGTGTGTTTTTAAAGCTCAGATTTTGGTTTGAATGATTGGCTGGACTACCGATAGCTCTCTAGAAGCTATTTGAAGTAGACTACCAATAGACACTTTCTTTCTGATTCTTAATGACTCAGGGCCCAGAAATGAATTGAAGAAGAAGATATTACATCTGGGACTTGCCTTGGGCTTTGGGTTGGGGGCTCATAGAATGGCTGGCTGTTGAAAAGAACTCATTTTTTACACATCTTCCCTCTGAGGGAAGTGGCAGGGCTTGGTTGTTAAGCATGAGCTGCAGCATCTTGGTATATTCCTTGTATACTTGCCAATGAAAGAACAGTCAAAACTAGGCCCTGGGGGGCCCAAGCCACCCTCCAATCCTTTATAGAATAAAGCCTGGGGTACACAGTATTAAAAAAAAGTCTTCATGACACTTGCTAGGTTCACAAGCAATGTTTTAACCTAGCCAATAAAATAAATTTGTTCTCTTTTTGTGATGGGATCAGAGCCAGTATTTTCAGTTGTCAACAAAGTTATAGAAAAATTCAACAACTCATAGTGTTCCCAAGCTATCACCTAATTCTAAGCACTAACTTGGAATAACCATGTAGGAGATTGCTGACTTCAGTATTTAGATGACAACCATTAGTAGTGTCATCATAGTGTTATGGCCCAGAATCATAAGCTGTATAAACTTTATAAGTGAGGTGATTACAAAAAGTTAAATAACACAGCTCTTAGACTAAGTTTCAATTAATTTTTGTTTTAATACAGCTAATTGTTAAACAATGGGGATCCAAGGTTTGCTTCCATTTTTGAAGAAGATTCATAAACCAGTCAACATTTCTGAGTTTCAAGGATGCACTGTGGCAATTGATGCATATTGTTGGCTTCATAAAGGAGCGTTCTCATGTGCTGAAAAATTGGCTCTTGGTGAAAAGACAGACCAGTGAGTCTTTTTTAATCTGATTAGTATTATATTATGGAACTGCAAAATTATTGTAGTTTCCTATTTTAGAGACTAATTAAATTATTTACCAGCTTATTTTTTTCTTTTAGACCTTATTTATTGACTATCTGTAACTTTCAGTAAATTCTTGAAATGTACACTGTGTCTTGGTAGCAAGTTCTGCTCCTTCAGACCAGAAGTTTTTTAAAAATATTATCCTTTATTATTGTTTGGGTTCAGATATACAGACCTATTACGATGGTTGAATGCTCTCTTATTTTCCTTATTATCTCTGCCTTGACCCAACTAAATCAAAATGAAATATTGTTAAATAATATTTTATGCACCTTTTTTTTTTTAATCCCCAACCTACAGATATGTCTACTACTGTATGAAGTACATTGACTACATGCTGAAAAACAATATCAAACCCATTCTTGTTTTTGATGGTTGCCATCTTAAGTCTAAAGCTGATGTGGAAAAGACAAGAAGAGAGTGAGTGTATATTTGGAATTTTTATTCAAAGGGATAAATTTGATTGAATTTTATTCTTACTTCCAACCCACCATTAGTCCAGTTGATGTTGAATGTTAATTCCTCTATTTATTATTTAATTGTATCTAAGCTCTGAAATATTTCTGAAGTATCCCGGCAAGCACTTTAATGTTGCAAATATTTTATAGTGTGGAAAAGAAAGGTTTTCTGAATTAATTTCTTTCCTTTTATAATGATTCCTCTATATTATGTGAATTCAAGTTTCAGGTATCTTAATTCTTATTTTTTGCTTTGATTTATTTTAGGAGAAGAGAACTAAATCGTAGGAAAGCAGCCCAATTTTTACGAGAAGGAAAGAGGGGAGAAGCAAAAGAATGTTTGCAAAGATGTGTTGACATCACCCCACAAATGGCTCTAGAACTCATGAATGTAGGTAGTTAAGGAATGTGTTGATATCAGCCCACAAATGGCTCTAGAATAAATCATCATTGTAGGTACGGGTAGTTAAGGAATGATGTGTTGACATCATTCCACAAGTGGCTCCAGAACTCATCAATGTAGGTAGTTATGGAATGATGTAGTTCTTTTTTTTTAATATTAAATTGCCTTATCCTTATAAGTGAAATAGTTCTGTCCCTTTATTAATCTGTACCCCAGCCCCAGTTTTATAAATAACTTTTGTTATGACAATGTCAGGTTTATTTCTTTAAAAAAATCATAAGCTCAAGTCTAGAATAAAGTTACAAATAATGATAGTATCACACTATGGGATCAACATAGCTGCAGGATTAGCGAGAAAGATGTTGAAGTCCAGTGTCATTCTTCACGTTTGATTTGGATTTTTCAAGTTGCTCACATGGCACTGACCTTAGTTATATGAGATTTGAAAACTTAGGCATGACATCTGATGAAACAGTGAGTTACACTTGTGTTCCTACCACTGTGCCACTAAGCCCTCAATAAAAATTTCACCTTACTATTAAAAACATTGACTAATAATTTATAAAGGAAAAAAATCAATTTAAAACTATTATAAATACTGACCACATCAAATAATAGTTAACTAATTATAAGAATGTTGGACTGCTATAAACCTTTAAATAGATCAATTAGACACGAACCATTTAATTTATACTTATTTAAATGTTTTGTTTTGTACTGATGAAAGCATTTGCCGAAACGTTTACATGTTTATTATGTTAAATTATTATTAAAGCTGAACATATATTGTGCTATTGACACAAATTGTTCTTGTCCAATTAATCAAATAATAGTTCTGTCTTTATGATAACTTATGAGACTTAGTTATTTTTTTTTTACTACCGGGTATCACGAATAAATATTTAAAATGTTCAAGGCATGTCGCGATAAAGGTGTTGACTGCATTGTTGCTCCCTATGAAGCAGATGCTCAACTTGCATACTTAAACTTGAAAGGAATCGCACAAATCATTGTTACGGAGGATTCAGATCTCTTGCTGTTTGGATGTGAAAAGGTCAGTCCTCAGATAATGACAAGGTAGTTTTCATGGTTGAAAACTTAGATAAAAAGTGCTGAGTCATTATTATTTACAGATATGATCTTGATTAATCATAGTATATTTAATTTATTCTATTATCTTAAATGGAATACGTTAACTTTTATGTATTAATATTTTTTGTGTGTTATGTTACAGATTTTTCAAATCAACATTTTTTTATGGAATTATTTTCATACTAATATTTCAGATAATTTTTAAAATGGATTTTTATGGTAATGGAACCTTGATAGAAAAATCTCATCTGAACGAGGTGCTAGCAATGCAAGGTGGAATTTATACTTTTGAAAAGTTTCGCCACATGTGTATCTTGTCCGGTTGTGATTATCTTTCATCTCTTCCTGGCATTGGCTTAGTCAAAGCTTCTAAAGTGTTTAAGACAGCTCGACAACCTGATCTGTCCCTGGTATTGTCTTTTTTCATTACAAATTTTAATATAACACAGGAAATTGTGTCTATTTTTTAAAATTTTGTATCAAGTATGTAAACAAAAAAATCAATTTTGTTTGTTTTATTCTGTAATTTCAATGATTAACAGCAATTTAGCAATGGACATTTTTGTATGTCTCAGTCGTAAAACCCAAGATTTTAGCAATATCTCCTGAATGCTCTCTTCCATTAAATGAAGATTCCTGGTACCGGTATAGCGCAAACCGAATTAAAATGGACTGATGAATTCCTGGAATTATCTTTTAGAGGCATCATTTCATAAAATAATTCACTTTGTTTGTATTATATTTTTTTTAAATTGGAGTAACATATGAAAGCTACTAAAAATAGGCTTATTTGTACTTCTAGTATTAGTCTGCACACTCAAAATATAAACAAATAAATGTCTTTTTTGTGTGGCAGGCCAATTTTCAAACGTTTATTTAACAAGTTTAACTCTAAATACAACAATATGCTCCATATAAACTAAATACAACATTATGCTCTATATAAACTAAATACAGCTCTATGCTCTATACAAATTAAATTCAGAGGGAAGTATTTATTTAATTTGCAATTTTATATTTAAAACAAATTATGTTATTTAACATGTACAATGAAATATATATTTAAAACAATAATTTCATATTCATTTTCCAACAGCTACTGAAAAAGTTGCCTACCTACTTGAAGATGAACTTGGTGGTAAACGAGGAATACATTGAGGGCTTCATTCGGGCTGAAAATACATTTCTTTATCAGCTTGTGTTTGATCCTCTGTCACGAAAACTTTGCCCACTGAACCCTTACCCTCCTGAAATCAACCCCGATGACCTGGATTATGCGGGACAGTATCCTTGACCCGTGCCTGGGCAGTTATGTTTATATATAAAGTTATTTCTGCTGTTGATGCGATCTCTTAAAATGGGTGAATGTCTTCATTGTTATTATGGTACAAGTTTAATTTCATGGTGATCTGCAATTGTTCTTATGTTACAAGTTTGATTACTTGTTGATCCAGGGTTCTGGAAATTTTGCCTTAACTGACATTTCTAAAGATATTTGCCAGATGAAAAAGCTTACCAGATAGCCTTGGGCAATATTGATATACATAATCATAAGTGTATTGCATACTTCGACCCAGATAGATTTCAGGTATCAAACTTTTCATCAGTTCATGAATGGTCTGCTCTATTAGTCATTTTTTGTACACATGAATTGTCAGTTCTGTTTTGTGTACACATGAATTGTCTGTATAGATGTACAATAAAAATAAAATGCTTTAAAACATGTCATAATGTAACACAACATTGTACCAAGCAATAATGTTTTGTGTATGGCAGTCTAATACAACATTGTAACCAGCAATAATTTTTTGTGTATGGCAATCTAACACAATAATGTTTTGTGTATGGCAATCTAACACAACATTGTAACCAGCAATAATGTTTTGTGTATGGCAATCTAACACAAGATTGTAACCAGCAATAATGTTTTGTGTATGGCAATCTAACACAAGATTGTAACCAGCAATAATGTTTTGTGTATGGCAATCTTACAGCCCAAATATGCAGCCAAGCCAAAGTTTCGATATCAACTGAGTATTTGGGATAAAAACTATGCCGTTAAAGGGGGGTCACCCTGCAAGACTCTACAAGTACCGCAAGAAGTTACCCACAAATCTCTTCATGATCAAGTGCAAATAGTCAAACTGAGGCTCATGAAGAGTACCGGTACCAAGAAAAGACAACTAGAAGGTTAGTTGATTTTATCATTTGAATTAAATTTCTGATTTTATTAAAACAAGAATATTTCATTATTGTCACACTTGATTTATGAATAGTTTCACATGATTTCAATATGCTCACACTTGATTTATGAATAGTTGCAGATGGTTTCATTATTGTCACACTTGATTTATGAATAGTTTCAGATCCACCAGATATGAAGACGGATGAAGAACTCATTTCCATGTATGGGCCAAAAGAAAACCAATCTCCAGATGCCAAGAGAGTCAAACATGTTGTCATGGAGGACTCAAAGATTTCCAGCTTATCTCAAAGCAAGAGCCAATTGAAGTCACCCTTATTTGCAAGCACGCCTGCAGATACATGTAAAGAACAACAGGACACGGAGAGTCTTGCTGAAGAGAGCGACGATGAACAGGACTCCTATGAAGAAACAAGTTCAAGGCATCATCCATCTCAGGCTATGTCTGCTGCAGATATTGGGGAAGAAGCTTTTAAAGGATCTCAAGATAAAACTGCAGAGAATTCTTTACTATCTCCAACAAAGGCCAGAAACGTTTTTGCAGTATCTCCTAATGAGGAGAGAACACAGAAGTTTAGTCTGGATAGCTTCCCTGTTGAGGTGAAAAGCAGGTGAAAGAAATGTTCTTATTATATCTTCTAATAAAAATAGTTATTCAATTTCTAGCTTAAAGATTCCTGATACCGTATAACTTTTGGTTTTCATTTCTATTAAGTCTCAATTTTTTTATGTCCGACTTACAGAAAATGTGAGTTTATAAATATTAAAACTACATGATTTTTAAAAAAAAGACAATTTAAAAATTGGGTAAATAAGGGCCACTGAATGGGAAATCTATGCTTTCTTACTGTACACATTTGAATTTGTCCACTGGTATCTTTTCTCATGAAATAGTAACTTGGGTCTTTCTAACCTTTCAGATATTTTCACAACATTAATAAAAACTCTAGTCCAGCCAAACAAAAGGTTTCACCGAGTGCAGCACAGAAATCACCTTCTTCCCTACACAAGAGAAGGAAAATAGAGCCTCAGAAATCAATTCAGGAAATGTTCAAACGCACACCTCCTGTGAAAATGGAGACGATTGAAAGTAAGGAGAAAGTGGAAACTAACCATTTCACTAGGAATGAAAGTCAGAGTGCTAAAGACTTCTTTAAACATTTGAAAGAAACTCCCTCTGTAGTTATTAAAGAGGAACCTGAATGTGAAATCGAAAGTCAAGGATTCTCAAAACAGGCGACAAATCCTATGTCAGTTTTTAAAAAATTTCAGTCGACTTTTTGTAAAGCAGAAAGTGAAAAAAGCAAGGTGAGGTCAAGGTCTGTATTCACGTGGTCCAGTTCGAACATCCAACCAAAACAAACAGAGTCAAATAAAAACAAAGTCTTACCTAATGACAGTGACAATGACAGTCAAAGTCCAGGTGTCAACAAACAGAACGTGTGTGGTGACAGAAATGGTTTTGATGAAACTCTGATGTCAGAAAGTAAAAGAACTATAATTTTATCTAAGAATTCTTATAGTGAATCTCCAAAGGAAAAGTCAACAAAATTAAAACATTTCTTTGGAGCATCTCAAAGGTCAGCAGCTAAGTTGCTGTATTCAGCCAATGTTGCTGAGAAAATGTGTGAACTACCAATATCTCAAGATGATGAAGGGGAAGTGACTGAACTGAAATCATATTCCTATGAGACCTATTTAAACTCTCTAAGCCACAATGGTCAATCAGAGGAAGATGAATCTCCTTATTTTAACAGTGTTAATGGTAAGTAGACCCTTACCATTTTGTTTGGCCCCTGTAAATAGTAAGTAAGTAGACCCTTACCATTTTGTTTGGCCCCTGTAAATAGTAAGTAGACCCTTACCATTTTGTTTTGCCCATGTAAATAGTAAGTAGACACTTACCATTTTGTTTAGCCCATGTAAATAGTAATTAGACCCTTACCATTTTGTTTGGCCCCTGTAAATAGTAAGTAGACCCTTACCATTTTGTTTTGCCCGTGTAAATAGTAAGTAGACCCTTACCATTTTGTTTGCCCCTGTAAATAGTAATTAGACCCTTACCATTTTGTTTGGCCCCTGTAAATAGTAAGTAGACCCTTACCATTTTGTTTGGCTCATGTAAATAGTAAGTAGACCCTTACCATTTTGTTTTGCCCGTGTAAATAGTAAGTAGACCCTTACCATTTTGTTTGGCCCATGTAAATAGTAAGTAGACCCTTACCATTTTGTTTTGCCTGTGTAAATAGTAAGTAGACCCTTACCATTTTGTTTGGCCCCTGTAAATAGTAAGTAGACCCTTACCATTTTGTTTGGCCCCTGTAAATAGTAAGTAGACCCTTACCATTTTGTTTGGCCCGTGTAAATAGTAAGTAGACCCTTACCATTTTGTTTGGCCCGTGTAAATAGTAAGTAGACAATTAACATTGTGGTTATCCAGAGAATCTAAGATTTATAAAAATCCTGCTTAAGTACCCAGATGACATAATGAAGAATATTATCGGTATTTAAATCCACCCATTCCTGTCATAAAGCATGTGGCAATTTTCTGCCCAAATCCCATGAGCTGCTCTTTGCTGTGGTCTCTTCAACTTCAAGACACCTAGCTGTCTAACTGCCATACACACTTCTGATAAAGTTTAGTGGTATTCTCAAGAGAGCAATGTGGTCAAATGTGAATGCTTTCTCATCTCTATATATATGATTAAAAACTTAAGAAAAATTATCTCCGTAGGCACCCCCATGAAATTAATATTACACAAGTCAGGTGTTAAACAGGGACTCCATATTTTAGTTAAAGGTACAAAATATGTTTATATGGTATAGGGAATATGTTATATACAGGGAGTGTTGATCTATGAAAATATATTTTAGATAAAATAAACGATGGAAGATTTCTCCCACAAATAATTACACCCACCACACTTGTGCCATTTGAAATACAGTCTGCACCCATTATTGGTAGCTTTTTACCAGTGTTGTTTTTTCTTTTGTTTTTATTTTCTAGATATTCAATAAAATATTTTTTGTAAACTATATAGATATTTTTATATAAGTTGATAATCAAGACAGGGTGCTGATTATTGACATCTTGATTGATCCCCCACTTAAGACACCCATTCTTGAAGAACTTGATTAAGTCCATTTGTGTTGTATGCAAATTGCAATCCAAAAGACTTTGTTGCAGTTATAAATTACAACAAGACAAGCCTGAATAGCTATAATGGTATTGTGATGCATTAAGTGATTTGGCCTTTCACTCTTAATAAATATACCCCCTCCCCAATCTCATTTGTGGACAGTCTCTGAAGAGTCACATGATGCAAACACTAATCTTTGATCTTTGCCTTCTTCACCTTGCAGAAAAAAAAAGTGATTCGTTCAGTAAATGTCATGACAGCAGTCAAAGAAGCAATTCCAGTGCCTTGGGCACATCACTGTCTTCAGTTCAAGACGAAACCATTATGGGGAGTCAAAGATACAACTTATCTAGCATTGATTCTGGTTTTATGCCAACAAGCCAAGATGTTGTAGATCTTACTGATGCTGATATCGAAAGTCAGGTTGGTCATCTGATATTTATGTAACCCACTCATGCGCCAACTGCTTTTGATGTAAACCCTCTCTGTACTTAGGTTTATCACTATTTCATCTGCTTCTTTACAATGATCCATCAATAAAAAGTTTGAAACAAACCTTTGAACACCTTTCCACAGAATTCTTGTACCTCATCTCTGTCCAGGCAATCTAGTACCAGTACCTCATCTCTGTCCAGGCAATCTAGTACCGGTACTTCAAGTAAGTAACATCTTTTATTCACCATTTTAGTGGAGTCATGCAGTTTGTGAAAACATTGAGTTTGAGACAGCTTCTCAAAGCTCCTATTGAGTAATCACAAGTGTGATAACTTGCACAGTTCTTTAGTGTTATGGGATTGACTTTTTGACATTGTTGTAGACTACTGGCCATCAGTAGGTCCTCAGTCTATTTGAAGTTCAGGCATTGCCTCAGAATTTAGTTCCTACTGCTGTGATTTCTGGTCAGAAATGATGTAAGGACGTTTTTAACATGGTTCCTGGGTTACCTTAACAAGCACTGTTATTTTTTTCTGAATACCATAGACTGCCAATTTGTATCCCATTTCAAATTGGCTATTTATGATAAAAAATGGCTGTTCATTTAAACCTGGTTTGTAGTACACTTTAAGCTTAAGGGTTAAGCTTAGACAAACCTTAAAGAAAGGCGGCCAATGGTCTAAAAATCAAATGGCAAACCCATTTTGATACTGTCAAACATAAGAAAAGTAAAAATGTCTCTTCATTCCAACACAATTCAGTTACTGAATCAAAAATAATTATGTTCAAGCTTTCGTAAACCTCATCTTCTATTTCTATGCATTACCGGTACCT